GAGTGGGGCGGACGGAGGGGGCGTCTGATCGGTTGTAATGTTTGCTTGGGGGTTGTTTTTACCACACTCGCTCGAAGCGCACATTTCGTCAAGGAAGAAATATGGACTCGAGATTACTCACCGGCACAGCTGCTTGTTATGCTGGCAGCAAAGTAACAAGGGAACACAAACAAGTAGAAGCAACAAAACAGGAGCAAGCCAACGAAAGCGAATTCCGTCGCTGTTGTATCAAACTTGATTTCCTCCGAAATATATATAAGAGCTATAACCACACCAGCTCCATAAGTTACCCAATGCACCACAAACCACGCACTGTAGGCTGAAACTGTATTGAAAACAACTGTACAAAGGTCTTCATGAATATTGATGACGTCATCTATACTTCCGCCTTGAATACCCCGAATTTTCCTCGTCACATCTTGAGCAAAAGTTCCTGAAAGACGATCGAAAAATTTGATTTGTTTGCCTATTGAAAGCTCCTTTTACCATGGTGCTAGTGATGCGATTTCATCGATTTATTTACACGTTGTAAAGAAGTCTGCTGTAAGCAAAGATCTCGAAAATTTGTGATTTCTCTACAAGCTGTGAAGAAGTCTGTTACAAGCAAAGTTCTCAAAAAAATTGTGATCACACAACAAATTGTAGCATTCGAGTGTTTTCTTCACAAATTTGTTCAACACATTATACGTGAGCTCAGGAGATTATAAACTGAACACAGTCTATGACTGGCTACTTCATTTCAGTGAACTATCAGCAATGTTTAACAACCTTTAACAAGTTTAAACATAGATGTTTATACAATGTATTACAAGAAAAAAGCAACATACCAATAGCCAAAGAACTGACGGCGAAGACTTGGCAAGTGTTGATTGATCCCAAATGTACCAACAGCTGTGCACCTGTACCAGTAATCACGGCGACAGTGTAATGAGGATCTCGTATCTCACTTGTCTTTGGTAATGTATAAAGCGACGCACCCAAGCCTAGAAACAACACTATAATCAGAACATAAGTGAGAAATAACAGCCACGCGTCGCTTTTGCTAATGTCTTCCATAAAGGTCTCTGAAGGAGAGACCAGCGCTGAGTTTAAACGACTGGGAGTGTAGAAAGAACCAACGAAGAATATGTACGAAATGACAGCAGCAAAGGAAACTATTGTAAAGACAACATTCCCTGTCGCTACGACACCGTGAAGGGTTTTGTTGCTTATTAAATTAGGTTTGGAATGACAGTCGAAGTTCGGACAACCGCAATCAATGTACATTCGGTAAACGACTTGGTAGAAGCTGATCACCATGAATAATATGCGAGGAAGATAGTTCCAGCACTGATGCCCCCACAGTCCAAGCAAACTAAAAGAGCCTTTGAGGACTCTGAGAAGTATTCGAGGACATCTACCGATTTCTTGCTGCTCTCTGCCTTCTCGGAAACGATAGTATATTGGATCAATAAGCCCTTGTTGTTCATTCGGTCCATGCGGTTCATTTCGGTCTACAATTTCTCTTCCTAGTATTTCGAGAACTTGTTCTGCCATTCTGGAGGGTTAAAGAGTATCGATGTAGTCAATGCCTGTGCCAAGAGTGAGTAAACTGTCATGTTTTCTAGCAACGTTAATCGTAACGCAAGTGATTGTAATACAGCTTTCTAAGAAACTTCAATGCGAAATATAAAACCTGATTTTGAACTGTCTGCGATCAAATGCGGTCTTCGTTAGACCTAATGTAAGCGACTCTTTTGATTAATGTAAGAGATAAATAAGTGCCATATACACCTCATGTGCCTCTTTCCATAAATTTTACACAACTGCCGACGCAAACCCAACTGACAAGCGCCCGATTACCCTAGTCTCACATTTCATTTCACAAAACCGGAACTTTAAGAGGGTAGGAGATTCAAATACTCTGGGGGTAGGGGTGAGGAAATATCGATCAAGCGTTTCGTTTAATCAAAGGAAAAATCATAGCCTGGGTTTTGCTTGAATAAGACGGGGACTATGACCGGGCGTTTGAAGTCTCCGGTGATACCATAGGAACATCTGGCAGACCGCTAGCGAGGAAAGAATTACTAATCTTTTTATATATTTTGAAACAATACGCTCATTGGCATGCATGCACGGGAAAATGGTATCTAACATACTTAGGCAACACGGCTATTGAAGCAAAATTTTATTGATATGAACAAGTAATCGGCACTTTTACGTTTGACTGCGGTCAGGTGCCAATGGTTTTCGAGCAAATTGCAGGAAACCCTCGAACAAAACAGAGCAACCTAACTTTATCGACGGATCCAATTTACCCGATCAAAATTCATGAAGACTAGTTTAGGCTTGGGAGCCAATTACATCACGGAAAAACTGATCTAGTCCCTTCACCAAACCATGGCAACACATTCGAATCTGAAAATTTCTTCACTTAACTGTTATCATGACATCCGCTGAGATTGTACAAACATTACTCACTACAACTGAAAACAGCCGTTTTCAAGACTAACTTCACCTGAAGGATCGCACTATACGACTGGTGGGTATATCAGTGAAAACGATTCTCCGAAAGACCTTGAATCACATAAGTATACGTATATTACAAATACAAGGATCAACTTACCTTTACATAGATAGGCGTATTTTATGTTCTCTTTTCTCCACCTCAGCCATCACCTGACCGTGGCCCACTTAGTTTGATCGTTTGCAAGTTGGATGATTGAATTTAATGAACTAAACTATTCATGTATGAAAGCGATCCTCGCAGTATTGAACCCTTCTTAGTTTAAAGGCTGATAGTTTCTAAAGAAACTGTTTGGGGCTGCGTCGGTGGGGGTAACGAAATAATTTGGATATATCAACAAAGTTGAAATGGTAAATTGGCCACCGTAACGATTACAAAAGCTGACGTTTCGAGCGTTAGCCCTTCGTCGGAGCGAATAGAGGAATTGTGGGTTGTGTGTGCTTTTAAAGGCAGAAAATGGAGCTACGTTATTGGTGGGAACATGGCAACGAGAAAAACA